CAAACTAGGGCTTTAGAGTCCCACAGGAAGGGGACAAGCCTTCACTGCCCACTTTTAACCCAAGAAGTAGCTGTAGCTGTTTCCCACTCTAGGCTTTATCATTAAAGAAACATGTATCCATTTACCTCACGGGCTCAATTGGTGTTCTTTTACCTTCTCTTGTGCTATAGTCTAATTACTCAGGACATGTTTTATTTTTAAATTCTTCATTGCTCTTCCTGACCATCATCCAACCATGTCTGATACTGTCAGCATCTGGCTTATTTCCCACCAACACTTTTTTTGGGTACAGGTGGGTGGCAAAATGTTTGGTTTTTCTTTCTGGTTGGCGTTGGAGTGAGTCCCAGAATATGGTTACAGTTGGGTCAAAGAGCTAAATGTGTTACTATATCCTCTGCTATTTCAGAGACCAGAGGAATTGGGGGAAGGGATTTCATTTTGTCACTTCCTCATAACCTAGGCAAGAAGCAGAAAAAGAAGTTTACAGAGACAGGAAATTAAATTGCAGCTGTACTGGGAAGTAGCTGAGAATTTTCAGCCACAGACGAGCTGTTTACTCAAGCTTCAATCCAACTACAAGAAAAACAAGAAAGGATGTTTTGGATTGTTGTTGCTTTGAACAACAAACATCATCCTCATATTGACTATGTGCTATGTTGACCCCATCTCAATGGGAACATGATCTGTGATTAGAAAAAACAACCAAGCCCATTCAGTGCCCATTCAGTGTCTAGTCAACTTTATTGGTTCAGACTACGAATAACGGAGTCACATTTTTAAAAAATAATAAGCAAGCCTAAGGCAGGGGTAGGGAGATAGCCCAATAGTCATGTGTTCTTCTAGAGGACAGGGCTCAATACCCCCCTATCTACCTGTACAAATCTACAATCATTTGATACTCTAGTCCCAGGAGATCTAAATCTCTCTTCTGGTTCCCACAAATTTTATTTTATGTGTATGTATATTGTGTTCCTCTACTCTCAGGCATTCATATCTACATATAAAATAAAAATAAATAAACCTTTTTTAAAAATCCTAGGGTACAGAGTACCCTTTAAGCACAACACCCCAATAGTCTAGAAATCAGACTCTCTCCATCCTTTGCCCTGCTTCCCTGTAAGCAGCTCCTCTCTTGGATCTACGTTCTTCTTTACAGTGACCTGGAGTCATAACCTAGCAACAACGAAGAGGGTGCTGCTGCTGGGCCCTCCAGGACAGACGTTATCTACCCACTTGGACCACATGCCATCACAGAACCCACAGGTGTGAGCAAGGCTCTATGCTTTGATGCATGAGCCAAACTTCTAGTAGCTGTGTCAATTCAGTGTAACCCACAGGGACCAAGAACGTGCAAGTAGAATTAGGATTGGAAAATGAAATACATGAAACAAAAAAAATGGAAATAAGGCAAGAAACAGGAAAAGGGAATTTACTGAGACAGAAATTTTTTTTAAGTTTTCATTTTAAAAAAAAAAATATTTTAAAAGAACTGATAGAGCCTGAAATGAGGGGTTAGCTGCAGCTGCTTCTGGGAATTGAAACGGCAAAGGAACCCTTGTCCTCTGCAGAGCCTGGACTGCAAGAAACCCAACAAGGTGCCAAAAGAACAGGAATGTTAAACAAGAAAAAGACAAAAGAGTCATTGCATCCAAACGCAAAAATATCTCCAGAGGACGTGACCTTCTCACTAATCATAGAGTCATTTTCTTGAGTTAGGCAGAAACATCTCCAGTGGTATTTTTATTTCTTTTCCTTTCTTTTATTCCTTCCTTCTCTCCTTACTTACTTATAGAGGGCAAATATTTAAGTGTGCGTGTTTCCCACGAGTGTTAATGATGACCTACCCTCTCCAATGCTAGAAACAGGAATGACTCCAGGCACAGTTACCATGGAAATCCCTAAGCTCATTGATGGAGTACAGCATCTGGAAGGCTTATCAAAAGATCTGATGATGCAGCTACAGGAAGAAGAATGAATCCTGCCAACACCAAATCCTTGGGTATTCAGGTTACTGGCATCTTTTGGAAACTTAATTTTTCCCTTACAGCCAGGATTTAAAGAAAAACTAGGAGAGTTATGAATTGTGTTTGCCTCCTAGGCCTAAAGGGATAATCTATCTTTAACCACAAGATGAATAAGTCAAGTACCTCTCAAGTTTAATACTAATAAAGGCAATTTCTTCCATCCTTCATATCCCAGTAATTTAATCGTTCTTTTCTGGGACTTTGGATGCCCTCAGCAAAGAAAAGACTTTACATAACTGAAATATATTTGCCTCTCATAACAATAAAATTCAAATTTTTTAATCTACCTAATAAAGATAAATGCCACTGGTTGGAGGCTACATTTGAGAATATGGTGGTCCATCGTATCAGTGCATGATGGAGTCAAACCTGGTGTGGAAATCAAATGTCCTACTCCACTGATCCCTGATCCCATTGTCTATTCCCGGGGGCAGACACATACTTACCTGACGCTTTACCAAGAAGAATTTAGTTAATCAGTCTCCAGACTAGTAAGTCATCTTCCCTTGTGGACCAGGAGACAAGAGAAAAGTGATAAAGACCTGAAACAAAATAGGTGGAATTCTCAGAACAGGAGGAAAACTGCTTTCTTTCATTTGTGTTTTCTTTTCACTCATTTGGTTTTTTAATGAAACCAAAAAAAAAAAAAAGAAAAGAAAAAGAAAGAAAGAAAACTCACTATGTAGCCCAGGCTGGCTCAGAGTTCATGATCCTCATGGCCTCAAACTCCTGAGTGTTGAGACTTTAGGCCTGTACCACCATGAAAAAAAAAGTTTAACTTTCCTCTATAGCCAGGGCTTAAGGAAAAACCAAGGAGTTATGAATTGCATGTCCTTCCCAGACCTAAGAGAAAAATCAATCTTCAAACCTGTCGACGTAAGTACCAACTCTCTACAGAAAAAAGGAAATAGTTTATTCCAAACCCAATATGAGCAACCGTGACCTGGGAACCCAAATTCAGTGTTCCACCACAGCAGAGGTTACGAAGGGGAAAAAGCCATAAATCAATGTGTTTACAAACTCCAGCTGCGGGGTCTTCTGGCAGGCAGGCTGTAAATGGTCTGGGGAATCCATGGGAGTTCATTGTGGTCTCTACGTATTCTTAGCTTTGGGGTTGGTGAGTCTAAGTGTGTCAAACTTGTAGAACAATTTCAGGAGTTTACCTCAAAGTCAGTATTGTTAGGGAAGATAAATAAATGAATAGTAAATGGCTGTTGAAAAAGGCTAAAAATAGTCCAAGATGATTTGGGTTCTTAACCTACACACTGAAAACTTCTATTCAGCCAAAATCAAGTGGTCTTCAGGATCATTAACACAGTTGTAGCTGCCTAAGGGGACCACAGATGATAAAGCGCAAGATGAATGAATCAAGGATCATCTGTTTACTACTTTGCCATTTATCACTGTTATTTACTATTGTAAGCTATGTCATCACAAACACAACAGATCCTCTTGACCAGAATCGATGACTCTTGGAATCTCATAGCTCACTTCACTATAATTGAGGAGCCTGCATATAACATGAAATACCCAGAAGAAAAGAATGCAGTGGTTAGGATGTCTGATGTCTTTGGCAACTGTATTTTCACAGTAACTGGTATTCCATTGGCAACTAGTAAATCTGCATTCGACATGTAAATAGCAGGGTCAAGGTGTCAAGAATCAGGTCTCCATATCAACAAGGCTTAAAACTGGATGCTACCCCATGGCAAATCGTTAGGACAAACCACTTAGCCCCTCCCTAACCCTGTACTCTAAAACCCCAAGTCTTCCCAACCTCTCACACAGCTATCAAGTTTACCAATCTTGGGGGTTCTTAGAGACACAGCTAGACATCTTCTTCCCTAGACACATACCTTTCTCTCACCCATGAGCCTTCAAACCCAGAAAATTCAATGTCACAAAATCAATGGGTGTTTGTTTTGTTTTAAGTTCTTTTCTGGTCTACAAGTACTATCAGATGAACTCTTTGCAAAATACAAGAATGGGGAGTAGGTTTATCAACAAGCACAGTAGATATTCGTGATGTGGTACTACATCAGGTGTGATGGAAGACTGCCCATGAAGAGCTAAAAATGTAGTAAGTCTTTTAAGGAGTGAGCTGCCCTAACCACTGCACTCAAAGAAAGAAATTATTTAATCACAACTAGCTGTCAGGACAAGACTTTTGGAAAGACACTGAGGTCTCAGCTGACTCCACAGGACATGTGAGAAGAGCTGTAATCAAGGCAAAGAAGTGCCTGTCTGGTTCATAAGTTCTGAGAACACACTCACCCTGAGACTGTGAATCTGAGCTTTGGCAAAAGTGCCATGGAAGTTAAACCAGATGGTTGGAAGAAGGACAAATGTGAAGAATTCTGTATTTTAGACTGTAAAACAGCAATGTAAGGATGCTTTTTCCTTCAATTTGCCATGATTCTTTATGTCTTAAAGCATAAAGATTTGGGTACCTCTATAGAAAAATACACCAATCCAATTGTATACATGGTCAGCCCTTCATATCTGTGGGTTTTTCATCAGTGGTTTCAACAAACTATAAATCAAAACTATTTTTAAAAAAATATTTTCTTCTTTTCTGCATGTATAGGCAGGTGTTCCTTTTTGATTGTTGTCTTTCTCTCCCAAAGTACGCCATCCATTTAGGTAACGTTTGCATTGTTACCACGTAGAGATGGAATAAACAGCAGGAGATGCACTCATTATACAACGGGCTTCCACATGCCTGCATATACCGTAACCTTGGAGCCCTGGTGTAACCCTGTGAACATAGAGATACATCTGCATTAGAAATGAAGGCCCGAAAGCTCTCCATCTTTCAAGCTCTGACTCTGTTAAGTATCACAGCTCTTGGCAGGAGAAAGATGCCACTATTTCGTAAGAACAGAGGCAACTAAAAGGAATGCCAAAGGTTCTTGCACATGTACTGTTTTCTTAGCTACCCAGAGTCCTCTAGCTCCAACAGAAAAGGAGTATCTCTCTCTTTCTCTCTCCCTCTCGGCTGCTGCTGGCCTGGGATGCCCCACTCCAAGGGTACCGGAAAACCCCTTTTAAGCCCCACTTGCCAGCAGAGAGCAGCCACATCTGCGAGCCAGAGCCACACAAAAAGTTCTGGTCCTTCCAGCTGCGCGGGATTCCCAGGTTGAACTCTTCCGGGAAACTTTGCTTCACAGCTCCTCTTGCGAAATCAAGCGGGCCCTCCCTCCTCTCTTTGGCTTAAAGGCGAGAGCCTGGAGCCAGCGCAAAGCACAGGCTGGCTACCTCCTTCTGCAAGCCTAGAGAGCAGAGCCCACCGCAGCTGCATCAGACCAACGCCCCTCCGGGCGCCTCTCAGGCAGGTGGGTCACTTTACTGGCTCTTCTGCCTTGTCACTTTAGCCAGGGGCTAAGGTTCCTTTTCTTTTAACTGCTCTCAAGCCCTTCTTTTCTGGACTCTACTTTCCAGTCAGCTGATACTGAAATATAGGCAAACTCGCCCCCATAGCCTTCTCATAAAAATGTCACCCAAGGCTGCTTCGGGATCAGTTAAGCCATTCAGCCAAGCATTACTTTCCTGAGGTTGCATTACTCATCAAGGTGCAGAGTACTCCCAATGAGAAAGATTGGGTTCTAAGTGGATTCGTCCAAATCTGAAACGCCCATGGGAAAGGAGCCTGTAAGAACTTAGGTGTGAGGACCAGCAGTAGAACGCTAAATCTAAGGACTTCTTTACACAGCGCTGAAATTGGGCAGTAGGTCTTCCTTGATCTTAATTTAAATATTCTTAAACGGCTTAGGGATTGCTTGCTTTTCTAGAGGCATACTGTTTGTGATGCAGTTTGCTGCATGAGGGAAAGAAAGCCTGTCCAGAGGCAGACGCCAGGTGGTTTGGGATTTTTTCTTCCTTTATTATTTTTCTCTGCATGGCACTTTAAAACATGAATGGTGCGTCCTGGAAAGCAAATTGCCTGAACCACGGAGTCAGGGTGCTTAGAATTCTATTCTTAGTTCTAACTGTGGCCTCAGTTCCACAGATCTAAGTTGAAAGCCTATTGGTCCAAGAGGCTCCACACAATGCAGCTCTACCAAGTTAAAAAAAAAAAAAAAAAAAAACCTTGTGACTTAAGGTACAGCGGCAGCGGCGGTGAAAGGTGTTGAAAGCCTTGCTAATGCTCCAGGTATAACTGCGTAATTACTTTCCATAATAGCACAAGCTTTGTTTTTACAAGGAAACTACCCAACCCTTCTCACAAGAGCATCTAAAAGTTTCACCACGTTTATCATTCAGAGAATACTCTAGACTTGTCAACCATTCTTCAGCCTTGCTGTGTGAGAATGTCCAATTCTGTATAAATGGCAGTCATATAAATGTCACTCACATGAAAGAACCTTTTTTTTTCTGATACAGTAGGTGTAATTTTATAAAATGGCACATTTATTTGAAGCAGTAACTTTTTTGAGATATGGCCTTTTCAGGGCCCTGAGTTTTTTTCAGAACACTGTGATTTAGCACAGTGTGAAATCCTACCAGCAAGCATTCTACCTGTGTGGCAAACACCACCAGTCCAGAAAACAGGAAGGAGCACTCTTCTAGTATCAGAACCTCAAGGCTGTAAAGTAAATGGTACATGTGTACATCAAAATTGGGTCATTGCACTTTCTCCATTTGGCAACATTTATGGTCCTGCTAAAATTCACACAGCAACTGGCAATTCAGAAACCAGCATACGCTAGGCCAGACCTCTGACTTGGGCATGTCTTACAGACATCTGCCTTTCATAAGCTTACTAACTGCTGTTTAGAAAAAAAATAGATTTTCATAACCTTCTGTAAGAAAAAACTAAAAATATTAAGCTGTGCAGTGTGTTGCAAGCAACTTTAGAGAAATAGGTTTGTTCTAGAACATAAATTGAGTGTCTAATCACTCCACACTGCCTTGTCTCTTGAAGGATTACCCTTAAATTACCTGTGCCATCAAAGCCACTATTCAAATGGTACAGATTTCCCTTTCAAAGAATCACTGATTCTGCAGTCACAAAAACACATGTCAGTTTTTCGTGGTCCTCATTGTCTAGTTCCCTTCATAATAAGTTTAAGGACTGGGGAGATGACTAGTAGGTAAGACACTTGCCTCCAAACCATGAAGACCCAAGTTCAAGTCCTCAGCACTCTCATAAAAACTGGTTGCCATGGCATACACCTGTAATCTCAGCACTGAGATGGCTCCAGAAAGCCTGGAGCTCACCAGCCAAGTAGCTTTGTCAAATCAGTGAGCTTCAGGATTAGTGAGACTCCCTGGATCAGAGGAAGGGTGGACAGGAAGAAGGTGGATTACCAGGTATGGGAGGGGCACTAGTACAAGTAATGAGAGAGGGGTGAATATGTTTGAAATCCATTATGTACATGAATAAAAATGTTATAATGAAACTCATTATCATGTATAATTAATGTATGCTAATGAAAACATACGATGAGAAGCAATCCAGGAAGATAGCCAGCACTGACCTCTGACCTCTACACACATGTGTGTTCGCACACACACACACACACTCACATGTGCATTCACCCCATGCATACAATTAAATTTAGGTATGTTTTTATCAGCTGCTGTAAAAATAATTTTCTTAGAGGTCTTGAAAAGACCGAGAAATTCCTGGTGAGAGGGAATCAAAGCCAACAGAGCCACCGTTTAAATCTGGAGGGCTTGTTAGGGCGTCCAGTTGAGTTGGGATCTGAAGAGGCCACTTATTAAGCCCCTACAGCTTATCTGTGCATAATTCCCACCACAAGAAGCAGGAATCGGCCATGCAGAGTTAATTTTCTAATTGGGCTTTAGATCAAACTGGATAATAATAGAAATGAAATTTACTAAGACAAGACCTCTGATGTTACCTGTGTCTGCTCACATCCAAAAAGAATGGCTTATTAGTTAATTATGAAGACTTCTTGAATAGTTCTCCATGATATGTTAAACCCATTCAGATGGTTCTCCATGACTTCTAGGTCAGTTCCAAAATGTCTTTAATTAACACTTGTTCTTTTGTTAAGAAGAAAGCAGTACTGCAAAGAATCAAACTAAGTAAATAACTAAAGGATAATGAATACTTAAGGCATTATTTGATAAGAAAATTATTCTGTCTATATAGAAATAAGTTTTCTTCCAAATTTGTTGAAGAATAAAAGACAAAGAATGCTTATGCTGTCTGAAAATTGTCTTTTAAGAACATGTCTTTGCAAAAATGAATGCCCTGGACTACTAAAAGAAATGTTTCCATTGTAGTTAAGCAGGCAGGACATTGACATCCTGAACTAAACTCTAAGTTCTGTACCATGTTCACAGTTTATTCAGCCATGTGTGGAGAGGTCTTTCCACACTGTACTTTGGCAGAAGTGTGTTTCTGGAAGGTAATTTTGAGAGATGTGTGGTTCTTTTAAATTTAAAGTACATCATTCCTTATATCAGAATAAAGTTCACTTTTCTTCTTAAAAGCAAAGAAACTGTATGGGAATGGTAATTTTGAAAAGCTAAGAGCTGTAATTATGAATTAAAAGAAGACTAGGAAGTAGCAATCTAATTACAAAGCACATCTCTAAAAGGCGTCATTTAGCAGGGCTGGAGAGATGGTTCTGCAGGAAGAGTAGAGGACCTGAGTTGAGTTGCCAGTAGCCATGTCAAGAGATTCACCACCACTTATAACTCCAGCTCCAGGGTGATTTAATGCCTCTGACATTCTTGGGCACCTGAATTGGGCATTTGTGCATGCGCGCGCACACAAACACACACACATGCACACACACACACACACTTTAAAAGTAAACACTCTTAAGTTTTTAGAGCACAAGCTAAATAGTCTCTTTGGTCTTGGCACCCAATATTAAGGAAAATAAAATGCATTAAGAAGGTTGTAGCTCCTAGCATACTGTTAGTGGGCAAAGCTGTGGACTTAGGGAACAGAAAGGTAGTTAATGTTTAATGGGAAACATGTATCTTTCATCTACATATGCTCTTTTTACAATTTGGAAACACTAAACTCAGCTTTCAACATAAGTAAAATGGTAGCTGAGGCAACTCCGGTAGGCTTTAAAAAATGTTCTCCTCCTGTCTCCTAGCAGATCAGTGTCCCGTGATGTGGGTGGATTTCCAGCATCTTCACATCCCTGTGTTTGACCTTCACACATGTATGCTAGTGATTTGACCCTGAGCTATCTTCTCCTGAGACCTGAGCTCCCTGGGGACAGGGACTTTCTGATTCCTCACTTGATCCCTTTGCCTAACACAATGCCTGGCACAAAGAAACTATTGAAAATATCCTGGAAATATGAAACTTTACCAAGTCACTCCTGACAACACTAATTTCTGTGTCAGAAAGATGTTACCCCAGGATGGACATAGTCAATGAGAATGAGTGGTCTATTGCTTTCAGTTAACACAATCAAAGTCCAGATTTTAACCCTGCAATTTGGAAAGAAGGTTAAGATTCTTTTTTTACATAGAAATAGTCAAAATTATTATAACTGTTTTGTTAATAGAAGACAGTATAGAAGTGGTATTTGCTTTATTTTCTTTTTAGTAACATTATGGTACATTACTGGACCAGCATGAAGTGTGAAGCCCATGAACAGTTCAAAAGAACCTATTTATACTGTATTCTTACACACACGCACACACAAACACACACACACAGAGAGAGAGAGAGAGAGAGAGAGAGAGAGAGAGAGAGAGAGAGAGAGCTGTCTTTCTAGTTAGTTCTTCAGTACGGAAGTTCACAGGTGATTTGTTTATCATGTTCACTTCTGTGACATAGAAATAAGAAAAACTAGTTTAAGAAATGGGGGGCGGGAAGGTTGAAACAGAAATCATCTAGGAAATGGGAAGACGTTGAGGCAGAGCTCATCAGTTCCTTGCGGTTAACAATAACATGCCAGTTGTGCATTTTTCTTAGATTGAGATCCTAAACTCTCCTTGCTATATTTCTGAGTCATGTCTGAGAAACTGGAAGATATTTTTGGTGGAGTGAGTCTACAAGGACTCCCTTTTGGGAAGCAAGAGTCCAAGGGCATTAGATTTACAGTCTAAATTGTGCTGGCCCAATGTGTGAGGAAGACAGAGTAGGTGGCTGTTATTGCCGTGCTGGAAATCACGTGGATTGTTTTCTAAATTAACCTGGGAGCCTTTGGGGAAGGGACGCCCCTAAGGAAAGATTTAGACATAAAATACAATCAGGATAAGAAAAGTGGTTTCATCCATCCACCCAGTTGCTTTCCCAGCTCCATGGGCACAGGCTGTATTTGGGAGAAGATGAGATGAGAGGTAGGAGAGAAGCTGGCACGGTGATAACTGGCTCTCTAAGGAAACCAGC